TTTAACTTTAAAAAATTATACATTAATAAATATTTTTAAAAACTAATAGTTGAATTTAGTATTCTACTTATGTTAATTATGCATGTTAATTGTTAAATTAATTGAATATGTCCAACTAGTTTATTGATTATATAAAATTTAATCCCTTAAATCTATATTAGAAAATACAATTTTCTTGATTAAACGATTATAAATATTAGATGAAATTAACAATTTACATGCATAATCTTTATTAATACAATATTAAATCTAACTATTGGTTTTTAAAAATTATTCAATTGAGTGTAGTGTTTTTGAAATTAGGGCCTTAAAATAAAGTCAAATTGATATGCAGTATTTTTTTATATATTTATTTTTTTGTTACATATTTAAAATTTTCTTTGAATGCCAGTAAAGTCTTGATTTTTTTTTAACCTCTGATTATGAGTTATATAAAAGAAAAGATAACTCTCATCTTTTATATATATATATATTCTTTTTTATTTAACTTAAAATTTGAATTTAAAATTTTTAATTTGAAATCTTAAGTTTTTCTTGATTCGATATCTATATATATATAATATATGGAATGGAATATTTGCTGAAAAGGCTGAGGGGATGAGATGTTAAAACCCCTTATAATTGAATTTACATATAGAAAACTGAAAGTGAGTACCATTTAACCTATCTAGATCTAACCAGTATTCAGCTCTTCGACTATCTCAAAAGGAAATGCAAATACAATACAAATGCATTTTTGTATTTTACACAAATTGATAAATGATTTATCCTATTGATGCAAAAGACTGACCATACAGTAACAGAAATGAGGAAATCGATACATGTACATAACAACAGTAAGAGACTCATCAAAGCAGGAGCAGGATGTGTTGTGTGGTCATGTTATTATCTAGGTGTGATGGTGGGAATCACTCCACTAACAAGGTCACTACCAGAAACATCCGAGGACGTGTACGGATTCTTCATCATAGAGGATGACGAAGGTGGAATAGTAGATGTCTTTTTTGGGTCACTTTCCATGGATTCTGCTAGCAACGGGTCAGAGTACTTCGACATCATCAACCCTATAGTTTCCAGAGTTCGAACCACCTCTACCATCAAAGGTCTTGAATCTGACTCGTCTTGGCAACATTTCATGGCCAAATTCACAAACTTCTCCACACATTCAAAAGGATATGAACCCATTCTTCCATCAATAATCGAGGATATTATACCAGATTGATATGCAATGTTAACCTGGTGTGTGTGTGTGAGAGAGAGAGAGAGGGAGAGAGAGAGTACATATGTTCAGATGATCTGAAAGTGATGAAAGACAATTAATTTCAAGCAAAAGAGAGGAGAAGGAAAGCTATATAATACCTCTCGAACAAGGTTTTTGCCATGCGAAATTGGTTGCATCCCTGTCAAAAGCTCTAAAAACACAACACCAAGGCTATATACATCACTCTTGTCTGTCAACACATGTGTTAGGAAATACTCCGGATCAACATAACCCTACATTTTACATGCACAATATTCAAATAATGAGATACCGTACCAACAATATATATAGTTGTGAACCAATGTCAATTGTCATCTATTAGTGTTTATAGTATTTGAATTCCATCTCTTTTATTGTAAATATTAATATATATATATATAGGTTAAATATTAATTTTGGTCCCTCAACTTTATAGAGTTACACTTTTTTAGTCCCTCAACTCTAAGAACTACACAGTTTTGGTCCATTCATCAGTTTGAACCGTTAATTCCGTCTACGTGGTATTTTTTATTTTTATTTTTTTAATGATGTGGCAAATTAAATTAGAGCAAGATGCTTATATGGACAAAAAGTTATGTCACGTTAGATTCCATTCACCAATCATCAAACCTTTCAACTGGATTATGGACCCCACCTTTTAATTCACTCATTAAATTGTAATTACTCATTTTAATCAAAATTAAGATTCAAATTAATTTCTAATTAAATCACAATTTTCTCAACAAATTTTCTTAACAACCATGACAATTTTCTTGGACATTGATTGAAACCATTTTCTCAGCATCTAAACACCCAAACTCTACAATTTTCTAGCCAAGCAAATGGAAACCCACTGAAAATTGATTCTTTGCCCATTTGTCACTACTTCTATTCTTTCCATCGTCAACGATGTTCTTTCCATTTTGAACATTAAAATCATTTAGACAATAGTTAGAAAATATGAAGCA